CATTGGAAAAAATAACCCCAACTATACATACAATATGATGGAGGCTAATTTAGCTACAACTAATCAGGAAAGAGATCTTGGAGTCATCATGGATAGTACTCTGAAGACTTCCATGCAGTGTGCAGCGGCAGTCAAAAAAGCAAACAGGCTGTTAGGAATCATTAAAAAAGGGATAGAGAATAAGACGGAGAATATCTTATTGCACTTATATAAATCCATGGTACGCCCACATCTTAAATACTGCGAGCAGATGTGGTCTCCTCATCTCAAAAAAGGTATTTTGGTATTAGAAAAGGCTCAGAGAAGGACAACTAAAATGATTAGGGGTTTGGAATGGGTCCCATATGAGGAGAGATTAAAGAGGCTAGGACTTTTCAGCTTGGAAAAGAGGAGACTAAGCGGGGATATGATAGAGGTATATAAAATCATGAGTGGTGTGGAGAAAGTAAATAAGGACAAATTATGTACTTGTTCCCATAATATAAGAACTAGGTGCCACCAAATGAAATTAATGGGCATCACGTTTAAAACAAATAAAAGGAAGTTCTTCTTCACACAGCGCAAGGTCAACCTGTGGAACTCCTTGCCTGAGGAGGTTGTGAAGGCTAGGACTATAACAGGGTTTAAAAGAGATCTAGATAAATTCATAGAGGTTAAGTCCCTTAATGGCTATTAGCCAGGATGGGTAAGGAATGGTGTCCCTAGCCTCTGTTTGTCAGAGGATGGAGATGGATGGCAGGAGAGAGATCACTTGATCATTACCTGTTAGGTTCACTCCCTCTGGGACACCTGGCATTGGCCACTGTCGGTAGACAGGATACTGGGCTTGATGGACCTTTGGTCTGCCCCAGTATGGCCATTCTTATGTTCCCAGCCAATTGGAGCTGCGGGAAGCAGCGGGCCACAGGTAGCCCACCACTGCTATAGAGAGGTATTAAAAATACAATTGGTACTGTTTCTATATCCCTTCACTTGTAAAATGCCTTCATACCACAAATTCAACCATACAGGATTTGGAACAGAGAAAAATTATAACAAACGTCTCATAATCATGTAAAAGAGCTTTCTACCTATAAGGTAGTGACTTTAAAGAAGCTAGTTTATCATCTACAAAGGCTAGAAACAAAGAGATTATATCAGTGGAAAGGGGGAATTCGTTCCTTTCTAATTATATATTCATAGTCATGATGGATCATGAAACCTCTGATTGGTAGAGGATCATGTTCTTTTTGAGCAGTAATTCAACATTTTGGAGGAGAAGGAAGAGAAAGTATTGTGACAAGCTGTTTTGGGGGCAAAACCAAGACCAACACCACGATATTGGCACTGGTATTATGATGGTTGTACACATGCTTATATAGGGGGTAGAAGGAAGGGGCACAACCAGGCCATCAAGGTACTGTTCAGCACTGGCTAATTTCATGGCAACACTGTTTTAACCTGCATTCACTGTGGTTCCAATGCTAAATGCCTGTTTCATGATACATACCGTCTTAAAATTAACCCGAGAAAGCAACTGTAAATTAATGAAAAACTAATTACATGCTAGCAGGAAAAGTAATACCTTTTTCTGCTTGGTTGCATTGCACAGCTTATAGACATATATGAAAGGAGGCAGCTCTTGGAACATCACTGTTTCCCATGTGGTTGCTCGTGGAGGGGCAATCTAGTTTGAGTGTTACTTACATGCTGTCTGAGAATCCTACCCCTTTATTTTCTAGACATACTTGAGGGGTTGTGGGTCTCATGTAGCCCTGTAGGCAACAGCAAAACAGAACTACCCACAGAAATAGTATAATTTGTTCAATTAACGGGAAATTATATGGATGCTGTTGGATACTAGTATGTTGTAATGTATGTAATGTTTGGAGTGCATATGTTGTTTGTGCTTAGTTGCAGCCTTCATCTTTCCACTATTACGTTACATTCGGTTGACTTGTTTTAATGTACAGTTGGCTCACATAAAATAGACTATTGCCCCGTCTTTTACACCTTCCAAAGAGGAATGAATAAAATGAGGTCCAATCAAAGTGCGTCAGCTCCTCTTAGAGCATAGTTTTAGTGTTTGCAGTTCTTGCTAAATTCCCCTTGAGCCTTTTTAGAGGCAGCCAGAGCTAAGGTTCCTCTCCGAGATAATGACCTTTTTGTAATTTAACCTTTTCTGAGAATTTCCAAACATACTGCTTTCACTTAGCTGGATCCTTTTACTCCCCAGTGAAGCCAGACATTTATGTAAATGTTGAGTTCTCAATGCAGACTTTTGACCCAAGCCATTGTGTGTGTGTTGTGTGTGGGGGGGGGGAGTTTGCTAGGGATCAGCCCCATAACTTAAAGAGAGCACTTTAATACTGGAATGAACTATATCATACGTGTTTGGAGGGGCTTTTTTAGGAGAGAGGAAAAATACAAAAAGGAGATTATGTGGCTAATTATGATGGCCTAAATATTCAAAAGTGACTACTGATTTTTGGTGTGTCTGTTTTTGGATGCCTAGCTTGAGATACCTTGAAGGGGCCAGATGTTCAAAGGTGAGACGCACAGAGGAGCCAATTTAAGGTTAGACCAGTAACCTTAATTCTGGCATTTGCAAGTTTTGAGTGCTTCACTGTACAACATAAATTTGATTATATGTAGTTTGATGTATGTATTTCAACATATAATGTGTAATTTGTCTGCGTGCTTACAGGATACTTTCACCAGGTTCTAATTCATGCTAGAAGACTGCAGAATTGTTCATATTGTTTTTTGTATTCCTTTTTTATCTTGCTTTACTCTGTTTTTTCCTCATTTTGTAGATTTAGTGTGTAATAAAAATGCAATAATGTACATAGTTGCATAAGTTGCACACTGTAGGAGAAAATCATTTAAAATTATGGGCCATTGAGCAGCAAATGAATTAATAGCATATGGAGGTAATGCTTATAGTAATATTCAGTCAAAGACTATGGGCAAAATTCTACCCTAGCTCAGCATTGATGTGTTTAGATGTAGAGAAGCAGTATTAGCAAAGCCAAGTCTCTAGGAGTCACCATGCCATACAGAATGGGGTGTCTCATGAGGACTTGGTAAAAACACAGCGTACAGTGGTTCTTTTGTTGCTCAAAAAATGAGAACCATGCACACTCTTTCTTCCCATCCAATATCTGCTGTTGAACACAGAGTGCATGAGGGTGCATTGGGGCCTGGCCATGACCCTAAACCAACTAGTTATGCTTCCTTGGGTCTACGGAGTACTTGCAGATACATTAGTTAGGATGTCCTTTAAAATGTTCAAGAGAGTGCTAGTTATGTCAAGGTACAGGAGTAGGCACTTTGCATTTTTTCCTTCCTACTGCACTGAGCAACACAAGAAAAGAATTTACCCTTAGGGAATGTCTACACTGCAACTAAAAACCCATGGATGGCCCGTGCCCATTGACTTGGGTTCGCGTCGCTCAGACAAAGGGGCTGTTTAATTGTGGTGCAGACGTTTGGGCTCAGGCCTTTAGTCTGAGCCCTGTGATCCTAAGTTTGCTGGCACAGGCCAGCCATGTGTTTTTAATCAGAGTGTAGACAAATCCTTAGTTTATACATTCTGGAAGGTGCTGTTTTCCATGGTCTAATCCAACTGCTGTGGATTTTAATAGGTGTTGATGATGCTTGTGGACTCACTAGATCAGTCCAATGAGTATTTTTAGGATACATTCATTTTTTGAAGTCAAACAGTCAATCACTGGAACATTTTTAACTTTCCTGTTATACTTTCCTAGTCCTCTGTGTCAAATATTTTATGTCAGAGATAACTATTGAATTCTATCTTTCTATTTTCCCTCCTGCCTTTGAATTGTACCACTGTCCTTTCCCTATCAGTAGTATCTCAGGAGGATGTTGAACAGCAGCTACTAAAGTTAGACATTTTTAAAATCAGCAGATCCAGATAGCTTGCATTCAAGAATTAAAAGAGATGGCTGAGAAGCTTGCTGGACCATTAATGTTGATTTGCAATAAGTCTATGGAGCTCAGGGAAAGTCCCAGAAAACTGGAAGAAAGTTAATGTTGTGCGAATACGTTAAAAGGGTAAACGGGATGACCTGGGTAATTATAGGCCTGTCGCCTTGACAGCGATCGTGGGCAAGATGGTGGAGCTGCCGACATGGGACTCGATTAATAAAGAATTAAAGGATGGTCTCTTCAATCTAGCAAAGAAGGGTATTACACAATCCAGTTTCTGGAAATTGAAGCTAGTCAAATTCAGACTGGAAATAAGGTGTACGTTTTAAACGATGAGAGTGATTAGCCATTAGAACAATTTAACAAGGTTTGCGGTGGATTTTCCATCATCAGCCATTTTTACATTTACATTTTCTTTAAAATATGCTTTAGGAATTATTTTGGGGAAGTTGTATGGCCTATACATTGGCCTGCTAAACCCAGGGTTGTGAGTTCAATCCTTGAGGGGGCCACTTGGGGATCTGGGGCAAAATCAGTACTTGGTCCTGCTAGTGAAGGCAGGGGGCTGGACTCGATGACCTTTCAAGGTCCCTTCCAGTTCTAGGAGATGGGATATCTCCATTAATTTCTTAATTTCTATACAGGAGGTCAGATTAGATGTTTACTAAAGTTCCTCGTGGCTTTGGAATATCTGAATCCCTCATTTCTGGTAAAGTATATCTGTACTGGATAATGGTGGTATAGCTTTTATTTATTACAGTATTGTCTTGTCTCTGTTACCTTGAATATCGTCAGTCCTTAATCCGTTGTTTTACGATGCTGAATCTGTGTTATAATTCCATACTTCACATCAGCAATATCATATTGTATTGTGCTCTTTTGCGTTCCAAATAATGATGAATCCTGTTGCCTTTCCTCTATTATTTGTCCTAAGATTAAATTTCATTTTAGCGCTAATATTCCTTGTTATAAAAATCTTAACGGTTTTTTTTTTTAGATTTGAACATGACGGTTTACCACAGCCTAGCACAATATTCGCTTGCTTATGTCAGAATATTTGTTTCAATCAGGTGGAAACTTCAGACAAGTTTATGATCTGTAGCTGTTCTTGTGAGGTAAGCTGTAATGAGGTTAGTATGCCACCTGTATCTGAGGCAGATGGACCACAGAAAACCCCTCCTATCATCTGGAAATCATTGGAACATACTTCTCTGCAATACAGTGAGTTTTGAATACTACATACCACTCTGTCTTTAGGCGAGGGAGTTATATTTATTTCATATACTATTGTGGAACATAATATTAAACATTATAAAAAAATTGTAATATTTTTGCTGTCCAGACAGTCTGAAGAAAAAAATGCATCTGGGATAATGCATATAAGGAGAAATGTTTTGTCTCTGCCCAAGGAGATCATCTTGTGTGATCACATACAGTATTTATGCTTATGCATTTGAGATTAATTCCAGGACTGATGCTGCTTCTTGAAAGGATAGCCCTGTCAATTTTTTATAAGAGAAAACACCGAGTTTTCACAGCACTGCCTCTGTCCATGTAATTTAACCTGTTTTATAATTTAACCTTCAATTAATTGGATTAGAGAAAAGGTTATGGTGGCTTAAAACAAATCACATGCACTCCCCCCCAGTCCCTGCATCTTTTAAAAATATAAAATAACAGCATGCTCTGCCTCAATTTTCAGTGTACCAAAAAATCCCTTATGTACTTTCTCTTGTGGTTGGAATGTGAAAGTGGTACTGTTACAACTTTCTTTTCAATCAAACTACTTTCACAATTTCATTTGGTGTCCATGCAGCTTCTTGTGCTGAGAAGTGACTTCAAGCTGTTCTGTCTGGAAGTGATTGACTCAGATTTATATACATTGGTGAATTCATACATGTAATTCTAATTAGTGTTAATGAGCAGTACAACCTACCAATGTTGAACTCCTCCTTGATGACATGTCTATGCCTCCTAGCATTTGAACTGTAATGTTCTGAATCTTATTTATCTGAATTAGAGCCAGTTCCTGCAAATAGTTACTTCTGTCAAGGAATTACATTGACTTGCATAAAGGCAGTGGTACTCTACACAGAGCCCTGCATGGATACAAAATTTGTATCTGCATCTGATCTGCAATCTGCAAATATGGTCCACAGATATAGATATCTGCAGAGCAGGGCTTGAACTATACATGCAGGGGATTGTAGATTCACGCCCTTAGACTACAGCTCTGAGACAAGAGACTTTGGGTGAAATCCTAGCCCTATTAACATCAATAGTAAAACTCCCATTGACTTCAATAGAGCCAGAATTTCACCCTTCATCTTCCTCCACGTTATAAGGCATCATGTACGTTTTAGAAATAAATTATAACTCCACCTTGCATTAATGGAAATATGCACTGGGAGAATGTTGTGTTCAAGTAAGATGCAGAAAATATCCTCCCCCTATTTCCTGTAATTGTTAATTGAAGAAGTATTCTTAGAGTAATATTTTCAAAAGTGCCCAAGTCCCATTTTCAAATTGACAGTTTGACTTCTGAGTTCCTAGCAGCCAACATTTTCAAAGATATTTAGGCATCAAAAAATGTGGCATGGGGCCTAATTGGTTAGACACCTACCTCCCATAGACTAGGCGGTATAGCTAGTGAAATTGCAAGACAGACTAATAATAATGCAATTTTTAAGAAAAGAATATATTCTGGAGAAAATCTGTGGGAGATGATTTTGTCAGGTTCCATGTGGAAGCACTGATGACTGCACATTTATTTTTAATAGTTCTGTTATATCTTACTGTCTATAAATCATTTTTGAAGATGATCTAATATCTATAATTTTGCTCTAAAAGTTTTTTCTTCCTGAGCATAGACAATTCAGTTTAAAAGATTTTCTTTGATAAACCTTAATCTGATGTCTTTTGTTTTTGTAATCAGATTGATTTTCTTTCATTCCTTTAGGTAAGCCATTAGAATGTTCTGGAAAATCCCTAAGTGGTTACCAGTGGGTTTCAGGCATCACTGCCCGCTTCCTTCCACTAGAAGGAAGGAGTATTCAACATGCAGCTCAGGAAGCGTTCTCTTCCCTCCAAGGTGCTTTATTAATCTGAGCCATTATTTATCACTAAAACAATTGTTTTTTAAACACAGTGCAAAGTAAAGAGCTGATATATTTTTATGTTTTGATAACTTTAAATTCTATGATTATAAACTTACCATCTCAGGCTTGCCTCAGGCTGGCATCATGCTGTGAAGACTGCTAACTTTAATATTGAACACATTGTAATGTGCACAGATTTTGAAGACCCTAAAAAGCAAGGATAGGGGATAAAATCAGTATATCAGAATTATTTCCAAAATATTCTTAACAGCTTTGTGGAAGACAACTCTATCGTTTTATGTAATGGAATATATATAGTATATATGTGTATCTTTTTCTAGATATAATGTTTACATAGTCTGTCTGTGCATGTATGTTGTGGATGCCGGCTGCTTGGTAAAGTGCTTTTGTTACCACAATAATTTTAAATTAAGTTTTCCAGAAAGCTGTTGCTCTTGTACAGTTTGGCATCTAGGATTAGGTCAGTAGCAGTAAATCTCATTTATGTACTTAATGCAAAGGAAAAATTACTGTCTTGGGAATCATGGAAGCCAGATTCCTTGCTATCACACTCTTACAAGATATTGACATATAAAACAAAATGTTCCAATTTTGTTTTGCAGTCTTTTTGCATTTTTAAACTTTAAATAAAGAATGCTTATGCAGGCTTCTTTTTCATTCATAAAAATGAAAATCATTCTTAGTGACTGCTTGGGTAGCCATGTATTCTTGTTCACGAATTCTTGTGATATATTGGCCTATAAAATCTTTACATTTGGCTTGTGCAGCTGAGTTCATGACTGAATACAGAATGATAAAGAATCTTTAGCATTTTTAGAAAGCAAAGAAGTCATGCTTTCTAGATGGCCTTTAAGCTTGTTTTTAACAGCCTGGAAATCAGCAAAGAGGGTGTAATCAAACTTGTAGTTAAAGGCACTAGTGTTTAGCGTAAATCTTTTGGGCATAATCTGTAAATTGAAGCAAAGGGGCTCTATAACATTTTCCTTGGTTCTCATTTTATTTGTTTGGATATCTGCCAATCCAAACATTATATGTTTTTGCCTTGCCATCCATCAGAAGTTTTTTTAAAAACCTACTTATTGTGTCATTGGCTAGTTGAGTAGCCTATTGCTTTCAGCATATTACTTATATTTACTGTATTCGCTGTATTGTTTTCCATTTCTGGCAAAATAGTAGCTTTTTGATCCTTGGTAATAAATGTCAATGCTCACATTTCCTGTGGGGTTTTTGCCTTTTCGTGTGGAGGGTGGGGAAAGCTGAATGAATTATGATCCTGTCATCTGAAGAAACCACAATATGTTTCTTTGCCAAGTTTTTCTGAGCGCTAAACTGATCATCTGCAGGTATGCATGAGCCTTTTCCTGAACTCTTACTAGCAATGTATGTAGGACTTCTGCCTGTTCTCTGTCATGTTGGAAGAATGGAGCATACACAAGTCCTTTTAACTTACTCCTTGCAAGGTTAATTAATTTAATCACCTCTAAAGAAGATGAGTTTTGCCAGAAGGATTTAGAAATGGAAATTTGCTACTGGACTTCATGAAACATACGATAATCCTAGCCCATAATATCAAAAGCCGAAGAGGGAATCTAGTGCTGTACTTTTTCCATTTCTTTACTTTTTCAACCTATATTTTTTATTCAAACTTTTCTTACATTAAAGTTTTTGGAAGGAGACAAAAATTACAATAGTAAATGTTATCAATAGAGGGTCAGTTCCTGAACTATTATAAATTGGCATCGTCCATAGGCGTCAATGATCTGGCCCAGAGTTGGATGTAGTACAAAGTACAGACTGTGCTGATGTTCTCTCTTGTGCATTTTCAGGATAAGGATCCTACTCAGGTCATCCATTAATAAATAAATGTGTGCAGTGTAGTTGTAGGTGTGTTGGTCCTAGGATATCTGAGAGACAAGATGGGTGAGGCAATATCTTTTATTGGACGAATTTCAGTTGGTGAGAGAAACAAGCTTTTGAGCCACACAGAGCTCTTCTTCAGAAGCTCAAAAGCTTGTCTCTCTCACCAACAGAAGTTTTCCAATAAAAGATATCGTTACCCACCTCGTCTCTCTAAATAAATAAATAGCATTCTGACCAATAGTACTTTCATTTCAAAAGCAGTTCTGTCCTAATGAGGCTGAGTCATACCTGACCAAATCCTACAGACTCCTAGATGGCAGTGAAAGGCCCAAAACTCATTAGAAATACCATGTACTTCTTTTGTGTATCATGGATGAAAGCTCTGTGGAGGCTATCTCTATGAATGAATGGATGGAGGATTTGTAGGTGGGCCAAGAAAATGGTGTGTGGGTGTGTAGGTAGAGAGTGGTAGTTAGAAGCTTCACCAACTGTGCCTTTCTACCAGACACAGTCCTTCATGTCACCAGCAGTACCCTGCCTCTGTATTGGGAGAAAAATTCCATCTCCCCACTCCCCTCAACACACATGCATAATTCCTTTGGCAGGGCAGGACAGAGCAGAGCAGGATTTCACCTTTACTATATTTTTTTAAAGTGATCCTTTTTATAACAAAGTTAAGAATTATGAACATTAAGAAATAAATTCCCTTTCCTTTCAATTTGGTCAAATACAGTTATACATCATGCAAATTAGCTTTTTCGGTTTAGCCCAGTATTTCCTCCCCAAAAATATGTTTCAAATCACACACTTCTCACACACTTGAGAGAAAAAAATGCTTGGCTAAAATGTTCCATTGACTGGAAATTTGAAAAGTGCACTTATTTCCTAGCTGACTGAAGAAGAGCTCTGTATAAGCTCAAAATCTTGTCTCTGAATATATTTAAAAGAATGGAGACATTTTACACGAAAACTATTTGCTTTCACTTTAGCCTCCCTCAGCAGATTATCTTCATGCTCTCATCCTACTTGCTAATTAGAATGAAAATATCTATGTCCAATCTATAACTTTAAAGGGCAATATAGCCAAAACTATCATGAAGGGAGGCTTGCGTAGCAGTTAACTCATGTCACATGGGACCCTATTACTGTATATGTTCTGTATTCTTTCACACTTTTCAGAGAAAGCTTTGTACTTAATTTAGCTTCTGTAGCTCCTGAGACTTAAATGCAGAATACGAGGACCACACAGTAATATACTGTCCCACAAATTTTGATAAGGCGCTCAGGATGGAAATATGTGTTCTAAATTGCATCCTGTTAACTCCCCTAACTTTATTCTTCTTCCTCTATATAATCAGCTCTGGTTGAGTCCATTTTCTCACCAATACCCTTTTATCCTGAACCCAGTTTACCTGTTCTCTGACACCAAATATGTGTGTCCTTCCTTCACCCCTCTCCTTTAGTCTCTCCAACCATTTACACCCCTTTACTTATATTTATACTGAATTTGCCATTGCTTGATCTCCAGCAAGTGGATGATAAATTGCTGGAAATTGTAGTTTATTCTACTATCCATTATTTTTATTTTTGCACAGTAGTACAGTGGAATGTAGACTGCTGTATATATGTATTTATTAAGATACAATGTATTTTCTTAAGGCAAGTGTAAATTCAGGTTCGAAGAATTTTCAGGTATGTTTTATCTCCTTATTATCAGATAAAATTAACACAAAAAAGCACTTAATAAAAATAAGGCTATACCATCAAAGATTATTGTAAGGGGAAAAGTAATATATTACTAAAGCACTCAGTCATGTTAAGTAAGTGTTAGGTTATTATCATTTGATTTTCTTGGACAAACATAAGATGCCTCTGCTATCTTTCTATGCTCATTTAAAATGTCCTATCTTTAACAGCTATATTATTTTTTTTCTGGTAGCTAATATGAATTCAAAGGGATTGGAATTGAAAGATATTATTTTGGTCCATCTGTATATGAAGAACATGAAAGATTTTGCTGTTATAAATTCAGCTTATATGACAGAGTTTGATTTGTGTCCACCGGCAAGGTAGGATCAGACTCTTGCTATGGTATATTTATGATACACTGTAATATACTGTATTACTACTACTGTATTTATGAAGCTTTTGTACACATTTTTGTGTCTCTCACATATCAAAAGTAGGCTTTTGTCCACCTTTTTCTGGGGAGCATGCTATTTTTTTTTCATATAAATTTTTATTTCCTTGATGGAACAATTGCTACAATAGCATAAGCATATCTACTGTGTAATTAAAAGCATGTGTGTGGCAGGGAGATGCTGTCAATGTTCCGAGTATGGTGAGCCTGACTCCTTTTGTTGGCAGAGACCAAGCTTATCCCTTTTAGTATATGTCTAGTGTCTATCAGACTAGAACTCCAAACTTCCTGCCAAACCCAGGTCTGTTGGAATGAGCCAATCTAATAGTCTAGGCCTGCAAGATCACTCACAGTTCCAATTCTGTACTGCTCATGACTTCCAGGTTATGTAGCAGTTTTATGTTGGAAATTGACTGATGTAGCAAATGCTTTGGTCACTGAAAATCTTACTACAATTTTTGAAAGTTGAGTGTCAAATCTAACAAATTTCATTTACAGATAAAGTAAAAGAGAATTGTCTTTTTGTTTTGGATTGTTTTTTTTGTTATAAGAGTACATGATGGGGGGGGGAGAGGAAGATGTGATATAGCTCAACGTTAGTAAGGCTTTTGATGCTGTGTCACGTGACCTTCTTATAAACAAACTAGGGAAATATAGCCTAGACGAACCTACTATAAGGTGGGTGCACAACTTGAGAATTATACTCAGTGACTGGTGAACAATCAGGCTGAAAAGGTATATTGAGTGGGGTCCTGCAGACATCTGTCCTGGGTCTGGTTCTATTCGATATCTTCATCAGTGATTTTGATAATGGCATAGAGAGTATACTTATTAAGTTTGCAATTCCTCCCAGATTGGTATCGTCTGCAAGTGCTTTGGAGGAACGGATTAGAATTCAAAATGAACTTGACAAACTGGATAAATGTTCTGAAATAAATAGGATGAAATTCCTTAAGGACAAATGTGAAGTACTCCACTTAGGAAGGAATAATCAGTTTCACAAATACAAAATGGGAAATGATGGCTTAGGAAGGAGCACTGCAGAAAGGATCTGGGGGTCATAGTGGATCACAAACTAAATAGGAATCTACAATGTAACGCTCTTGCAAAAAAAGTATTTAGTTCAGGGCACCACACTTCAGGAAACAGGTAGACAAATTGGAGACAGTCCAGAGGAGAGTTTCAAAAATGATTAAAGGTCTAGAAAACGGGATCCACAAAGAAGGATTGTAAAAATTTGGTTTGTTGAGTCTGGAGAAGAGAAGGCTGAAAGGGGACATGTTCATAGATTCATAGATTCTAGGACTGGAAGGGACCTCGAGAGGTCATCGAGTCCAGTCCCCTGCCCGCATGGCAGGACCAAATACTGTCTAGACCATCCCTGATAGACATTTATCTAACCTACTCTTAAA